TCTGTTTTGGTATCAAATCGTAGGAACAAAGGTTAGAAAATGAGGGCAATTATTTGTTTTTCTTATCTTTAAAGACTGGGCAATCTACTTCCATAGAGATACTGTCTTGGCAATCCAAGGAGGAGTGGCTATGAGTCAGAATTTACTCAACAGCAGTGAGGTGGTTTTTTGTTTTTTTTAGTTTTTAAATAATTTATTTTAGTTTTTTTGTTGAAAATATACACAGCAGAACATAGACCAATTCAACAATTTCTACATGTACAAATCAGTGAAATTGATTACATTCTTCAAATGGTGCAACCATTCTCACCATCCTTTTCCTCGTTGTTCCTTCCCCATTAATGCAAACTCACTGCCTCCTAAATTTCCTACCCAATCTTTCAACTTGCTGTTGTCAATTTTATCCCTTCCAGATAAAGCTTAAAAGAGTCCAATGCTCAAAGCTGATATTCATTAGTAGTTAAGGTAAGTTACTGGTTGACTTTAAGAATACTTCAGGAGATATTTTTGGTTTAAGGTCTAAAGATTATTTCAGGACAATAGTTTCAGGGGTAAGAGTCTTATTTTTAAATCATTCTATTTCTTGAAGCTCTCTTTCAGTGTTCCTGAAGCTGGTATCCAGCTTCCTAGGAGGCTGAGTCCATCCGAGAGTTATGCCACTGCCCAAGGATCTCATGAACCGTATATTTTTAAGGCTTGTCATATGGAGTGCCTACATTTGAATGGACATAAGAAAAAGTAAAGGACAGTAATAGATGAACAGTCCTAGAAGTAGCAAATGTTACCTTGAAAATGACATAATGCACTGTCTATAGATTGATATTTAGATAATTCTGGGCCATAACTGTTAAATCCAGCCACTCCTCGGAAGAAAGGTTGGCCAATCCTACTTCCGTAGTGATACTGCCTCGGAAACCCAAGGAGGGGTCGCTATGAGTCGGGGCCGAATCAACAGCAAATAACAACAACAACTGTTAAATACCTAGTCTCTCTTCCCTACTCTGCCTGCCCCAGCTGCATCCAGCTGGGCAGAAGCAAAGGTTTAGTAAAGGCTAGTGGTAAAGGAGAGCAGATGGAACTGTTTCTGAGAGTGTGCGCATGTTTAGAAGGCATTCTGGTGGTAGAGTGGTTAAGGAATTTGTCTGTTAACCAAAAGGTCAATGGTTTGAACTCACCAGACACTCTATGGGAGAAAGTGAGACAGTCTGCTTCCATAAAGATTTACAGCCTTGGAAACCCTATGGGGCAGTTCTACTCATCATATAGGGTTGCTATGAGTCTATGGCAGTGAGTTTGGGTTTGGTGCATGTTACAAGTTGTATTGATTTACTCTTTCTTTGTGCAAATATATGTATTTGAATAAGTATTATCTGTTTAACTGTTAAGATTCTCAGACCTACATTAGAAAGAGAATTGTGGCTTTTCCAAAGGGGTATTTAGCAGAACTCATCTACATCTCATTTTTCTCCTGACTCAGGTTCACTCTCTCATTTAAACCTAACATCACCTCCTCTGGTAAACAAACTTGTTCTTATGGACATTTAGGCTGCAGTGGCCATTGATCTCTTTATTATTCTTGCATTAATTGACACTTTTCCTCCTTAATTGTCTTAAATGTAAGTGGTAAAAGCTTGAAGAAACCATGACCATCACCTCAATTCCTACACTGAACAAATGAAAAATGGATACCCTAGAGCATTAAATCCAGAGAACTCAAGTGACAGGTCTGTTGTCACAGAGACAGCCATAGTGCTTCAATTTGGGTCTTTAACAACCCTGAGTCAAGCCCATTTTACGACATTGGTAGTGTTATCGTTAGCTGTCATCGAGTCAGCCTCCAACTCAAGGCAACCCTATGCAGAATGGGATGGAACTGTCCATATGGCTTTCCTTGCCTTATTTTGAGAGAGAGATTGCCAGGCCTTTCTTCCCAGTTCACCTTAGTCTTGAAGCTCTGCTGAAACCTGTTGAGCATCACAGCAACACACAAGCCTCCACTGACAGATGAGTGACAACTAGAAGGAGTGTATTTGACATAAGGACCTGCTGTGCATACAACACACATTCTTTATGTATGCTTTAGCTGATTCGGAGTAAAAGCATTCAATTCTTATCCTTTTTTAAACTGCACAAAGAGATGACTATTAAAACAGCTAACCATAAAAATGAAAAAAAAAAAAAAAAAAAAAAGCTCTATTTACAAATTTAATCTATAGAAATCTTAGAGCAAAGTTTCCCAGTTTGTTCCCTGGACTACTACTTCAGAGAGGTGGTAATCAGTTCTCTGAGAAGAAAGGGGATCTGGGTTCAAATGAGGTGAAGAAATCTCACTACCCACCTCATCCCACCCAATCCCCACTTCAATCATTGAAAGTCATAATGAACATCTCTGAGAAACCTTCAGTAATAAGAAATATGTTTTGTAGTAAAACAAACATTTTGCTTACTCAGGGTTAGACTGTGCCACTCAGCATATCTTTACAAACCCTCATCACCCAACAATTTCCCATGACTTCCATAAATTAGACAACTAAGTGTAATAATGTTATATATTGTTGGCTAATCCTGATGGTCTCTTTTCTAGTCACAGATTCAAAGAGAGTCACTCCCATAGAATCCTTTAATATTGCAACTTAAGGCTTGAATTTTTTCCTTGAGTTCTTTCAGCTTGAGAAATGGTAAGCATATTCTTCCTAAGTCCAAGTTCAAAGTGCCAAGCTCTAGAGGCTGGATGAAAGACCCTCAACCTTGGGTTTTGGCTCTGCCTCCTGCTCCCAGCCCACTGGAGCTAGAGGCTTTTCTTCACGCAGATAGCTGCTAGCTGCTGAGACTGACAAGCTCAAGGTTGACAAATAAAAAGGCATAGTCTCAATGTTACCAAACCCCACGGCAGGCAATTAACTCAAGTCCATTGGAAGTCCTAAGGTTGGCAGAGCATGGCATGCTGCTGAACAATGACATGGCTACATGCAGGGTTCAAGAGTCCCATAAACTGGAGACCATTCCCAAAGCTGTTGCTGATATACAGGAAGCAGACCACATACCCACGGCAGCTATTCAGCTGCTCCAAAAGATTCCACCGTGGAGTTAATTAACAATCCCACCATGGGAAATAACTACATTCAGCTGCCCAGCCACTCAACCAGACCCAACCAAGTTGACACACAAATGTAACCACCACAGGGTGCCTCAATGAAAACTGCAAAACCTTCACAAGCTAACAGGAATGATTAAAGTACACTTTAATCTTAGTGACTAACTCATTGTTTTTCCCTCCTTTATTATTTCCTTTTGAGTAAATAGTATAGCCAACATTTTTCCATGCACGCTGAGTTTTTACATTTACTCTTGCCAATTATTATTCTTTGAAGCCTGACTCTTTCCCACAATTAGTTTCAGCTCAGAATCGTAGCCTATACCAAGATGTCCCTGAGAAAAGAGACACCAAGCCTTGGAGCAACCAAGATAAAGGAGAAAATGGAGATATTCCTGGCAGCTGGCAGGCTGAGAAGCCTAAGGATGCCCACTCCCATAGTCTACCCCATGGTAGAATTAATCTCTCTAGATAGTTGTATGGGGAACCTGAAGGACATGTCTCCTGACCAAGGATGGTTTTTATCACTGACCAGAAGAACAGAGAGGTCACCAAGCAATGGCAACTTGTCCCAATAACAAGAAGGAACATTATCAGCATTCCTCAAAGCCTCCTATACTTCCTTCCGCAAGCCCAATTCCCTTTAAAGCAAAAATGCCATTGCCATCGAGTCGGACCCAACTCATAGCGACCCCTCCTTGGGTTCCGAGGCAGTATCTCTACGGAAGTAGATTGCCCAATTTTCCTTCCGAGGAGTGGCTGGTGGGTTTGAACTGCCAGCCTTCTGGTTAGCAGTCAAATGCCTTAGGCACTACACCACCAGAGCTTTAAAAATCCTAACAATTCCCCAGTTTGGGGAGACAGAGATTTAGAGAAATGATTCTCATTGTCTCCTTGGGTATCGATACTGAATAACCCTTTTGCTTTCTCTCTTCTTCTTCTTGTGATCATTGGCTCTTTGCAACAGGTTAGGTAAGGACCTTGTTTTCCTACAACAATATTACACAAAACCTCACATAGGTGGTATATGTTGCAGAAGTTCCTCCTTAGGTTAGAATGTAATTTCACTAATGTGGGCTATTATTTTTTTATTTTTTATTTTTTTCCAGTCTGCATTAATAGAAGCCATAATGTTAGAGTATACTGGACAGCGTAATTGACTTTTTATGAGGCCATAAAAGGCATCAATCATAAAGGATATGAGGCCAGATACTTGCTTAAGGCTAATAGGAATAAGGGGTAGGAGGGCAGGCTAGTCCAGGAAGAGGCACGAGTTAGCATCCTTGATTTCAGATAATTTCAAGAAAATGTTAGATTCAAGGAAAGAAGAGGACATAGAAAATCACAAGGCAGAATGGGGGAAAAGATAATGAAATCAGGAGTGGGAGATTCCCAAGAATTTTGCTACATTTCTTGTGTTCCTGAGACTAGCCTTCAAGCTTTATTCAAATATTTTTGAATAATCATTTTTGTGTGAGATTGGTGATGAACTGGAGGGTGAGGAACTTAACTCCTATATTTAGAAATTACCAGCTTAATGATTACTTTGAATCTTGTAAAGTAAGTCTGATATAATTATCAAGGACAAATTGATATGTTGTTGTTGTTATTGTTGTTAACTTAGCAATCAAGTATGAGCAAAGCCAAAGAGAAAATTCAAACTGCCTTAGCATGGATAACATTTCTGTACACCATGTAAGGTATGCCTACAGTGACTAATAAGAATTACGTAAAAGGTTGATTCCAGCTTCATCTGCAATCATTGCTAGCTGTAATCTAGGCCCCACCTATCTTGTTTGCAGTTAGTATAAATAAAAGTTGGGCTGCAGCCTTCTCTTCCACTCAAGGCTGGCTTTCAGGAAGACAAAGGAAGGACAGGTTTGTGTTAGCCAGGACTAAGGCAGTGATGGACCTCAAGCATAAACATTCTGTGAAACTGAATGATGGACATTTCATGCCAGTCCTTGGATTTGGCACTTATGCTTCTGAAGAAGTAAGTGGAAGCCAGGGGACTGATAGGTTGAATGCAAACAGCCCTGGATGGGGTATCAGCAGACACCAGCCGTTTGCTTAGTAGACACTGGTGATTTGGAAGGCATTATTTGGGCCTCCATTTCACATTGGTAACTTACCTCTCTCCAGGTCACAGAGGTATTTTTTGCAAAAAATGAGTTGACCAACTATTTACTCTTCAGGGGTTGATGATTTTTTTTTGGCTTCTCCTTATTATATGGGAGCTCTGGTATCGTACTTTCTGTTACTGTGTTTGTTTAGTTAACATATATGGAGGGAGCACCATATGGAGGGGTGTAGCGCCTAAGGCATTTGACTGCTAACCAGAAGTCTGGAGGTTCAAACCCACCAACCATTCCTCAGAAGGAAGATTAGTCACTCTACTTCCGTAGAGATACCACCTGGGAAACCAAGGAGGGGTTGCTATGAGTCAGAACTGATTCCATGGCAGTAAGGGTTTGTTTTTTTTTTGTTTTTTTTTGTTTTTTTTGTTTTAATATAGAAGGCTTACCATATACTCTAAGTGTTTCACATGTATTATCTGATTTACTTCCTAATAACTCTGTAGGTAAGTACTCAAAAAAAAAAAAACCAAACTCACTGCCATCGAGTCAATTTGACACATAGTGACCCCTCCTTGGGTTACTGAGGCTGTATCTCTATAGAAGTAGATTACCCACACTTCCTTCCAAGGAATGACTGGTGGGTGGGTTTGAACTGCCAGCCTTCTGGTTAGCAGTTGGATGCCTCAGGCACCACGCCACCACTATCATCATAATTATTCTTATTTCTTACGTTTTAAAAATCCTAAACTAGTCTCTTCTTCTTGTACTCATCTATCACTTCAGTCATAAATACTCTACTATTGGTTGGAAATTCCTGATGAATGAAGGACAAAGGAGGAAATGTAGATCTACGTTGTAGCAACTTTGCTGTGAGGTTGTTGGGGCTGGCTGTATTTGCCAGAAGATTTAAATCATCTAATGCTTTTGTCATATAAGAAGCCACTAATATTCCAAGTCTTAGGTGAGGAAGACTTAGGAGGTATGAAGTAACAATGGGTACAGAATTGTGCTTCTCATCAAGTTTATTATTTAAACACCCACAGAAATTTACTGTAATGTATTTAAAATGCCAAACTCTGATCATAGTAAGTGAGGGGCAGATTTGTTGTTGCTTGTGATGGGCTGCCCCCCAAAATGACAGAGACAAATACACTCTGTCTTGGTACAATTATATCATCAAGTATCAATATGTTTTTGGTTGCTAATCAAAAGGTTGTAGGTTTGAGTCCATCCAGAGGTGCCTCAGAAGAAAGGGCTGTTGGTCTATTTCCCAAAACATCAGCTATTGAAAACTCTAGGGAGCAGAGTTTTATCCTGATACACCTGAGATTACCATTGGTCAGAATCAGCTTGATGGCAACTTTCTTTTTTAAATAGCTATTAAATGGGGCCAGTTACTTTTCTGTGGTATAATTATCTGTTTTATCCATCACTGCAGTTTATGCATGGGGTATGTCTTACATATGTTATATCCAAATTTTATACTGTTGTTAAAGTCAGAAATGTACCAAAGAGACAGAATAAAAATGTTCCATGATCCTCTCAGGTAGATGACCCCTCCAGATATCTTCACAAGAATAAAAGGAGTTCCTGCATAGCATGTATTGTTAAGGGCTCAACTAATAGTCAAAAGGTTGATGGCTCGGATCCATCTAGAGCTACTTTGGAAGACAGGTCTGGTGATCTGCTTCTGAAAGGTCACAGCCTTGAAAACCCCATGGTGCAGCTCTACTCTGCACACGTGGGGCTGCCGAGAGTCCGAATTTACTTGACAGCAACTAAGAGCAACAACCGAGTTCAAACAGTGCAAAAGTTAAGGAATGAAATGAGAAGGAAATCTCCCTTCTACCCTAAACTGAGTTCTTTTCTAATCTGGCCCTCATGAACAGTTTCTCGTGGGTCTTTGTGGTAGGAAGAGGGAGTAAGTGTGCCCATTTGTTCCAATGTGGGTGCCTATTGGAGGCTTTCATTGCTCAGCTAAGTTTCAGATTTGCTTATCAAGCTACTGAACAATAGAAATTGAAGGAAGGCTATATAAATGATATTCTATTGACTTTGCCGAAAGTTCACCGTCTAGGGTGAAATCAGGTGACCAGCTGGGTGGCAGTCAGCTCTCTGCAGTCTGCCTTTGCATTTCGCTGCTCTCTATACGGTTTTTTTCAGGCTATGGTTCCAGTGCTATGTCCTCAGTCCTTTCACAGATGTTCTGCTGCTGACCTTAGGACAGCCTTGAATTTCTGTACTATTCGTTGTTCCCTGAGTATGAAATGATAATGTTAATTTCAGTCATTTTAAATACTGAGATAAATACTAGAATACATGAACTCATGTTTGATAAGTAGAACAGAAAGATCTAATTAAAGTTTCAAACTTACAAGTGTGGCCCTAAAAATAATTCAGGTAGAATATGTAATTATTCAATAATAAGCCAATTAACCAATTCGTTAGGCATTTTTAAATGCATTTTATGAAAATATAATTTATGTACAGCGAAATACACAAAACTAAAGTGACATGGGTCACTGCCTTTTTTTTTTTTTTTTTTTTTTTTTGCAGTGTTCCCTCCCCTCCTCTCCTACCCCTGGTAACCAACAAAGAAAGTTTCTCTCCATATATAAACTTTTCCTTGATTCTCAACAGCAATAAACTAATACTAATTGTTCTTCTGTGATT